AAGGTGGTGCCACCCAAAAAAATCCTAACTACTGGTTTTTGGCATGATTTTTGGTGTGTTTAGGTACGCTATTAGGCCGGAATGTTGATCGGGGTTTTATAGCGGAGGTTGAGGTGGTCGTGCTGGTGGTGGAGTTCGACAACTTTGGGTGGTGGTTGGTATTAGAGTCCCACGTTGACACGATCCACTTAATAAGGTCACTTAGCCCCTCTTCGTCTACTATTATTTCAAAAAATTGTTTACTACAATAAAATTCTTCACCACACATTCACCTAATAAAATATTCTACACACTTCTCCAATAAAGTTACTTTAAATTTCAACCACACTTCTCCAAAAAATGATATTCATTACTCTATTTTTCTTTCAATAATGGGAGATAAACACACCCTTAATAAGGTGAGGGCAATCCTCCCCTAACAAGTCGATTTTGTTAGGTCCAATATCCTTCCTAATATGGTATCAGAGTAAGCTCAGTTTTGCAATGTTGGGCGCACGTAATATCGATTTGTTCACAATTGTTTGGCATGGTCCACACTATGTGTGAGGGGGCGTATTAGAATTCCACATTACTTCGGAAAATATAAATGATCCACTTAATAAGGTGGGGGCAATCCTCCCCTAATANATTTGTTCACAATTGTTTGGCATGGTCTACGCTGTGCGTGAAGGGGCGTATTAGAGTCTCACATTAGCTGGTGATATTTACACAATCCACTTAATAAGGTAAGGGCAATTCTCCCCTAACAATCCGATTTTGTTTGCTTGAGTTAGGCCAAATATCCTTTCTAATAGTTGGCAAGTGTTTGGAGGCTTCAAAGGTGGCGCTCACTGCTTGCAGTACGATCTACATGTGGTGGTGGTGGTGTGATGGCGGTGGTGGTTGGGATTTGTTGAAGGTGTTTGTGGTGCTCGTTGGGTTCTTGACGTTGGGGGTAGTGGTAGCAACAAAAATCGAGTGTGACCAAGTCTAATTTCATTGTGATGTTTGTGACCAGATTTATATTAACTGTGACTGTATGTCACATATAACACATGTCAGTGAAGGTAGTATTTATGGTCGTAAATTTGAGTTTATGGTGGTGCATTGGAGGTGATGGTGATGGTGATGGTGACTAGTGGTGGATTGTGGTGCTGGTCTATAGTGTATACAGATTTGTTTGTAGTGATCCTCTGTGGCCAAATATGTATTTATTGTGACTGATTGTGACTAATTATGAGTTAATTGTGATCTATTGTGATTTGATCACATACTTTCACTGTTGAGAATGACATGGTCATACTTTTACACAGAAAGACAAATTTGGTTACAATTAATCACACTATAAATAAATTTGGTTACAATTAGTCATAGGTAACACATATTAGTGTTTTGAAATTTTTTTGGAGATAGGTGGGGTGTAATATCCAGTTTTCAATTTCTGGGAATTTTTGGGGGTGGGGGGTGGGTAAGGGAGTGTAATATTTAGGAGGTGTTTGAGAGAGATTCTCAAATTCTATAGTAAATTAATTCTCATTTTCAAACATACATTTTTCAATAAAATAATATTTTTCATCACATCAATAACTTTTTCTTCTTTTTTCAACCACAAATTCTCTATCAATCTACTATTTCAAAATACATTTTTCTAAAATAATATGGCTCANTTTTCTACAATAAATCGATTCTCATTTTCAACCACACATTTTTCAATAAAATAATAATTTTCATCACATCAATACTTTTTTCTTATTTTTCAACCACACATTTTTCATCATATCACTATTCAAATATCAATTCTTCCCCCAAAAATTCCTCCCAAACAAACTCCTCGTTTTCAATTTCTGTAAAAAACAAATTTGGGAGGCGGGATGGGTGGGGTGAATATGTGGATTAAATTAAATTTTATATTATTATTATTATTATTATTATTATTTACCACTTGATTTATAAAATATTTTATTGAGTTTGTTAGTTGTGAAATGTGTTTCCTATATATAGGATTTATGTATTGTTCACATATAAGATGCATTGGGCCCAAAAGAATTTTTAATTATGAGTTAATTGCAAAAATATGGAATTTTTAGGTTTCAATTTCAAAAATAAGGTAAATTAATAAAGAAAAAAAATCATGTTTTTAAGTTTTCATATGATTT